CTTATGTTAAGCTACAGAGCAATACAAAATGGAGTTTCTTAAGGCAATGCAAAACTCAAGAACATTCACACGATTAAAAGCAATAGGCAAAAAGTCTATGTGTATAACATTAAGACTCTTTAACACCGTGCACAGGTTTCCCTAGATTTATGCTGTACATGTGTTCCTAGAAAACAGCACATAACTTGAATCGCATAAAGGGAATCCACTTAACAATGTAAGAAATAGGAATACGTTCCAAGACCTCAACTGTATTGACCCACAGACCCATTTCTACCTCTTTTACAAGACAATTTTGGTACTCATCAACAGCAGACAGTACACACAAGCACAGGACACTATCATAATGGAGATGGCAACTACAGAAACACCTGTTGCAGACAACGAGCGAGAAGCACAGATCCACACAGGAGACTATATTTTGGTGCGTGTCACAATGCACCAAACAAAGGAGCTGACTGTGGGCTTCTACCACACCGATCACATAAGAGTGAATTTACCTCACAAATAACCAATTTTTGGTATAAAATGGTCATTGCAAAACAGTGAATTCACACATACAGAACCTGCATAAAGCAAGGGAAGCCTCTATGTCGACTTCAGTGGGCCAAAGCTGAGCCCGCAAGGCCCCACGCTGCTGCCAGGCACTGCTAAGAAGCAGCAGTGGGTGCTGTTCTCCAAGGCACAGACACTAGAGCTGGAGCAGCAGTTTCAGCAGCAGTGTTACCTGTTGGTGTGCTAACTGACTTGGGGCACCTGCTGCTGCTGCTTCTTGGCAACACCCAGTGGCAGTGCAGGGTTCTACGGGCTTAGCTCCAGCCCACTCTCGACCAATGCTGGGGAGACAGGAACACAGGGAGGGGTTTAGAGCTGGGGCTGGGCTGATTGTGTCTGGCAGGGACTGGAGCTCCCACTTCCTTGACCAGCGCTGTGCTGCACCACCCAGATATGTTGCTGTGGGCTTCAGGGCACTGGCGGGCAGCTTGGTACCCCATGGCCAGGCCCAGCGCTGCGTGCAGCTGCCTCAAGTTGCTAGACATGGCTTTGGGGCTTGGGTGCACCCTCTGCTCACTTGGAGCAGAGCCACCTCTGGTTGTGATCTAGCAGCTCTGGCTCCACACATGTTGCTGACAGACCCAGCAGCCCCTGAGCATTCCCTGCACCTTTCTCTGCGCTCCCCAGCCAGAAACATGTTCACTGGTCATGCTGCCCCAGCAACTTTCCCAGCGTAGCACCTGTGCATTGCCTGCAGGGTCTGGCACAGCTGTGCATGCAAGGGGGCTGTCCAGGGTGCTGCCCAGGGCAGGCTGCAAATGTGTTCACCCACATTAAGGTGCCTAAAGGCATACACCTATAGATGTGCACCTAAATCCACTTAATGCGCCTTAGACTAAGGTGCATTAAGTTTAGGTAAATGTAAATTCACATGTTGACAAACCCACAGTGACTAGCAGCCTGCCTCCACCTTTAAGAACCCCTTATATTATGGGAATGCCTCTTTTCTTCCTAGCTCATCTTTTCAAGCATACCTCCTAGGCTACCACATAGTCCTGCACGTGCCTCTTAGTAGTCTCTTCATAGCAGATCTCTATGTCCAAATTACCACTGGGCTGCCAGGCTCCAAACCTTTGTCTGGACTTCCACCTGTCCAGCTTCAGCCCTTTTTATCTGGTTAGACTCCTTCAGTCCAGGTCCCCCCTCTTTGGACCCTACCTTCATGGGTCTCAGTCCCAGTAACAGAGAATACCGCTAAGGCACCCCACCTGTGGCCTCCTCCACCCCTGAATCCACAACTCTGTCCTCTCGTTTTAAACAGTGTCAAAATATAAACACAAGCAAACCACTTTCCAACTGCAAGTCACCCCATTTTGGCTCCTTGCCTCACTACACACCCTAAGCTCTCCATGGCTTTCTCCTTGCAGCCCTAGAGGAACACTTAGGCATCAGTCACTCTGTCTCCTGCAGCCTTCTCCCTCAAAAGATCCTCTCCCTGCTGCCTGCAGTGTAAGATTCCCCTGCTAGCTCTCAGGTTCATGGGGTTTCTGCTCTGCTTGATAACCAGGCTGACCCCTTACCCCCGTCCCCTCAGCAGGGGACACCCAATCCCCCAGGAGCCTTTACTACAGCAGCACAGCCTAACAACATCCATCCATAAAAGCCATCCTGGCATACTGTAGTAGTGTATTGTGGGGAGGGGGGCAGAGGGAGTTGAGCTGAATGGCACTCCTCTCTGGGATTTTTGCCATGGGAGGCATCCAGTAGAGTACTGGAGGTAAGGAAGTGAGCAGGGCACCTGGGACAGCCACTGGGGAGCTTGTGCCATGGGGCTGGTACAGCCAACATGTAACAAGTGTGTCCCTCAGCTGCAGCAGTCTCACTGCAGGGCTGCCTGGCTTTCATGGCTGGGCACCACAGGGCTCTGCCTGTCATAGCGAAGGCTCCCAGGGGAGCAATTATGGTGCCCTTTCTAATTAGGCTTCTGGGCAGGTGCCCTGCTCCTCCACCCTCATTATGCTACTGCTTCTATGATGAATATGGTATGCTTAGTGGGGGGCCACCATCTTTTCATAAGTGATAGTGGACATTTCAAGAGGCCTGGAGGAAAGAACCATTTTCAGAGTCCATTTCAGAGCTCGCTGAGGAGGCACACATGGAAAAGAGTATAAATCCCATGGAGAGCCGGGAGCCTTTCCATACACAGATGGGCCTGAGCCAGACCCATACAAGGCTGGAACTAGGACAAGGAATAGAAAGGAAATGAAGCTTTTATAGCTGTACAAGACATATTTATTTCTATTTTGTTTTGACAGACTCCAAGCCTCCTGCTCTCTTCCTCCCTCAAAATTCTAGCTATGTGCATGGAACTGGATGAAGGAGCTGACTTTAAGGAGCACCTTATTTGGTTTTGTTTCTTAAGAAACAGGTACTGGCAAGAGACTATTAGAATCACTTAGTAGTCATCATGTTTTGGCTGCAAGACAGAACTTCCACAACAAGAAAATGCTAATATAAATCAGTTCACTGCAAACAGACAGAAACAGATTTAAACTGACACCTGAACATAACATCAATGTACGTAGTAAATTTAAAATAATCCCTGCAAGCAATCCAGTGTCACGTCAGTGAGAAAACCCAATTTGCATGATTTGTATGAACTCATCAATTAACCTGTAATGCAAATGGTACAAGAGACTGTGCTTTGGTTTTCAAGTCCAAAACAAATTGCTCTTGTGCAAAGCTTGGTTGGAGGTAAAGATGACGCTGTTGGCTTAGCAGAGTTCATTTGCTTTGGTTTACAGACTCAGGTAGCATGGACAAGCCTACTCCTTTATGGAGTCTTCTGTTGGTCTTTATACAAAAGGTCTACTTGTCTTCTAAGATATTCTCAATAAAATTTTCCAGAAGATATTAGTCAATCCTTTCCCGGACTTTATTTGAAAGGATAACCTTGTCTCTACCACTGAGATAGGAGACCTTGATGTCACTCTGTTAAGGAGCAATTCTGGCACTATAACTGAAGATAGTCTGACAGTATATGGGCTGGTACCTTCATAACACAGCATTATTGAATAAAACCATGAGTGGCAGCTATCACTCATTTTAAATTTAAACTGATTTTCTAAATGCCCTTGACAACATACATAACATTGGGGTGTTGCTATAGCTGTGATGGTCCAGGAAATATGCAAGCAGGGTTTTTTTATGATATCATTTATTGGACCAACTGTATAGTTGGGAGAGATGTTAAAATTGAAGAAGGTGGCTTCTCAGTTTTTATGGGGTCCTCCTGCATAGTTGTGTTGTTTGTTTCAACCTGTGTGTTAGCCCGATGGTTGCATAACATGGAGATGATGTTATTTCTTGTACAAGCTTAGGATATAGATGTTTCTGTGTGGCCTGGCATCCTTTTTATTCATGTTATGGATTTTCCATGGTGGACAGTGGATTTCAGTATTCTCTGTGCCTAACATTTTTCCCAGCTATACAGGTTGGCCAATAAAAGATATCACCAAAAAAGCTCTTTCTTCTTTGACAGCATAGACAGAAAGTATTGGTGGTAGATACTGAAAACCTACACATTTCCTTGCAAAATGATCTAGTTCTTCCAAATTCTCTTTTAAGATGTCAGATGTATTGTGATTTCTAGTCAGGCATTAACAAACTGGTTTGATGTTATTGCTGGAGTCAGTGAGGATAGTACCTTTGGTGTCGGCATTGATTCTGTTATGCAATAGATTGTTATGGAAATTCGATACTGTGAGTAGACTGCTTAAAGATAAGGATTTTCCTGATAATACCTGTTCACTGAACACATTGATAAACAAAATCCAACTAAGAGTTAATCAAATTAATACTGCTAAACAAATAGGTTTTATAATTAATGCCTTGGGACATAGTGAAGTCCTTTTCAGGTGCCCTGAGGTTCTGTGAAATATTAGTATTGTTATGTGCAAACACCTACACATGATTCACAATATCTATCTGGAGAGTTCAAATAGGAATCCATAGTCCCAAAATATTCTGACCTACATGGTCTTTCTGAGTTATTTGCAACAGAAGAATTGCTCTACTATTTTTCCATAGTTAAAAATCAAGTGAAAACTAAGAGCTGAATGCCTTGAGTCTAATGAGGGGTTTGTTGAATTTAAAAAGGTTTGGAATGACTGTTCTAAGAGGAACAGCTTTGATTATTGATTTCTGTTTAGTATAGAAATATTCAATTTGATCAGGCAAGATGGGTTCTGCTTTTTGGAAACTCTCCCCAAAATGGAAATATGGTACCATCAGCATCAGTACTATGGTGAGAATTTTTACGATGAACATCCTGAACATACTTCTGCACAGAATGGAGTTGTGGAAGAGCAGCAAGTCTCTTCACAGAAAGTTTAACAGCTTTAAGTATAGATGCCAGGGCTGGATATTTAGAGTAAAATGGTCAGACATACTAAAGCATGTTGAGATCTTGGAGCAGTCATCCACAGCTACACAACCCATACAAGTGAGAAGGGAAACTTGCCTTGGCCACATTCTGAGATTCCTGGATAACAGGCTCCCCAAACAAGTCTTGTCTGGGCAGCCCTAAGGCAAAAGGAAGAGAGTCATTCTAAAGGACCTTTATCAGCATATTAAAAACTAAACCAACAAAAGTACAGGTTAATAACCTAAGCAGATTTAAAAAATGGCCTGGCGAAAGAGTTGTTGAAAACTAACCATCTGTTCCAGATGATGTATCAAGTGCACTGGATATGGGGTGTAGGATGCCATCAAGCCACCTTGAACAAATGTCTTCTCTAGGATTTTGTCTGGTGATGTATCAACCTTCTTTTTGCCTTACTATTTCTAGTAAGTTTGGCATTGCATACTGCATTATCCCTGCCCTCTAATCTGTCCCAAGTACTACCTTCCACACTTCCCCCATTAATCTCTGGCTCTGTTCCCCACCCTACTTATTAACAACTTGCTTTTAACTTGGGCTGTTTCCTCTTCCATGATGCCTGAGCACTTGGAAGCATGAGAACATATCAGGGGAGAGTTTCTGCAGCTATACAATCTATATCTAGCCAAGTCCACAGAGATATGAGTGCAGTATGCTGCAGTACAATGGCACACTCTTCAGGGGGGCTGTGAGGGTTCCCCCAGCCATATAGTGTCTCTAGGGACTCTTGTAATTGCTCTTGTCTGGTTCTTCAAAATCAAAAGCTTTGCCCTTATCCTCCTCCTCCTGCGAACAGCATTTCATCCAGCCCCTGCTTAAGTTGCACCTTGCTGTTGTTCAGTGTTCAGAGAATGATTTCATAGCCTGGTAGACTGGGCCCCTCAGAATCACTACTGGCATTGCAACCCCACCACTGTTCATGTGCTAGATCATTGGTTCCCAATCTGTGGTATGGGTACCATCAGTGGTACACAGACAACCTGTCAGTGGTACCATTAACATATTTATTATAATTACTGTATATGACAAAAAATTACTGGTGGTATTTAAGGTTGAACTGAAAAATGTGCTGGTGGTACTTCATTTTAGATTGGTGGTGCACAATCTGTCAGAGTTTGGGAACTGCTGTGCTAGATTATCCTTACTTGCAGCTTTTCAAAAAGCTTGAACATGCAAGCATCACGTACCATTCCTGACCTGCCATTTAATGTCAGTTTAATGACCTTGGGGAATATTATGAGATGAAAGAAACGAAACCGTGGGACCTGGATCCTGAGCAACTACAAATACCACAAGCACAATGGTGGGATCTCATAATGTACTGTAGAAATAAGGAAGTGTGCTTACTGGTAGCAGTGAAGAGACAATGGGATATTTGTCCATGCTTCACTGCCTCTTCGTGATGTGACACTCCTGGCTATCACTAGTAAACACAGCCAATTGTGCACTGCTGGCAGCTGTCAAAAGTTATACCAATAGAAGCTTCCAGTGCAGGTCTCTGCTGCTTAGGTTTAGTCTTTGTTAGAGGTCAGTTCAGGCTCAGAAGTGATTTGGAGAAATGGTCTAATCAGAAGAACAAAGGAAAGTTGTTCCAGTGAATGCTAGGGAAAAAGTTAAAAAGAACTTAGAAATGCAATGAAAAAAATATATGATGCTCACATAGTTTCACATGGAGCGTGAAATTTAAAAAAACTAAGCATCCATTGTTGAAAGATAATCTTTCCTTAAGGGAATCTAGCCTCAGAAAGTTAATTCAGTTTGAAGCTTTGTGGTTCCTTTGGACTCTTCATTACTGCGGGAGTCCCAAATTTCTGCAGCTGCAAAATGCTGTCTTCCACTTGGGTCTGCTTAAATGTCTGTGTCCCATCCTGTCACGATGACTCACACATCTATAACCTACAGGCTAGATTGCTGCAATTCATTATAACTGGGCTTTAGGATTCTGCTGTTAAAAAGCTTGGAATACCTAGTCAAGTTTAAAGCTATGGAATTGGCAGTAAGTATCTCAGAGAAAGGACTGGCCTATGTTGCAAGGCTTGTGGTTGCAGACAGCAGTAGCCACAGGGAGGCTGCCAGGGTATATACACATTCGCATGACTTCTAGCAGCCCCCTATAACTCCTGCCAGAGTCACATGGCTCCACTTCAGCAGCTGTGCTGGCAGGGAGTGCAAGTCCCCCTGGGAGACACCAGCTGTTAGAGGGGACACAGCAGCCAGCAGAAAGCAGAGATACATTTACATGCACCTTCTGTCTGCTGTCAGGTGACAGCAGTAGCTTTCTGTCACTTGCAGAGCTGGTGTTTCTCTGTGGCAGAATGAAGGGGTGAGGGTGAACACAGTCATAGTTTCATTGATTTTCTGCTGGCAAAACTATGTAGCGTTGACCAGGAAAAGACCCCTTTCTCAGATAACTACCTCTATTGGAAGCTACATGCCTCAGAAACTACAGTTATACTGAGGAAGATGCTCATGAGAGCAGGACTTCAGAATCACTATTAAGCTCACAATTTTCTGAAAAGTGTGCATGTCTAACTTGGCTTTGGCTTGCCTATGACTTGGTTTTCTCAGATCCACAGTTACAGTCAGTAAAGTAATAAAAAGTGGGGAAGGACTGAAGAGAAGTGTAAAGAAACATGAAGGCAAGAAGAAAGTTTGAGTGAGCATGAGCAAGCAAAGGGAAGATGGAGGAAATAAAAGCTTGAACAACAAGCAAATATTTACTTGATTGCCTTGGGGAAGGTAAAGAAAACCCCCCCAGGACAACATTTGTAAATGTTGTTTGCTGATTTTTGGGAGGTATTGAGAGATGACTATGATAAATAAATGACAAAACTTGGGTAAACAGACAGAAAACAAGCTATGGAGGAATCAAGCTTTGGAAGACATAAGATGAGAAGGGTGGTTGCATCATCAGTAGTAATGGAACAGAAGAATAGAGAAGACAGGAGGAAAACTAAGTTTAATTTCAGATGTCATAAATGTGAGCTATTAGTAAGCCATCCAGGAAGCAGTGTTGGAGAGACATGCATGTCAATGGGATGACATGTACTACTGCTCATCAGTGTGCTGACATTAGGAAAGATGTTCCCTGTGGGGCTTTACCCTCCACAGAATTGGGGTAAAGCCCTGAACATATACAAACAGATGAAAAAGTGTAGAGCTAAGCAGGGACTGCAGGGGATCCCAGACTTGCACTGATGAATGCACTGATATATGGCAGTCTAGTTACTCATGTTTAGCAGCAGGACTAAAGGATAAGGTAGCAGGACTAAAGCAGAACTAAGAAGAATGCTTAGCCAAGCTCTCATTAACCAGATTAAATTCATTTTAAGCCCATATCTCCTGAGAAACACCCTGTTCTGTGTACTTGTTGGTAAGACTACAGGCAGAAAGGGGGTGTCAGACTTAATTCTCCTGAATGAGAACATTATCTACAGTCCTACATTTACTCAGTATTTTGTCACTGAATGAATTATGATTCAATAGTACATGCATGTATTGCCAGTGTCTAAATTCATGACAAGTTTCTGGTGTAGGCATAAATGGGTTAAAGTGCAAGGGAACTTCTGTACCAATCACTATGACCATTAAATATATTTGATGAGAGAAGCTGAGAAAGATGTATTTAGGCCAAGTCAAGAAAGACAAGAAAGTGTTTCTTGCTAGAAACTGTATATTCCCAGAAAGTTAGAATCTAATACACTTTAAGGATTGCTATCGAGTGAGCTTGTTTGGACAGGTGTTCCCTCATTGATCCAGAATAAAGAAAATTAAAAGTAACCAATCAAAAAGGGAGGAAATTGTGCTCTGTTGCAGTCAACTTTCTTTAAAATATATAATTAAAAGAATATAAAGGAAGATTTAACAGGGAGGAACAGCAGATGATGATGATCAGAAACAGAACTATGGAGAGACCCTACAACCACGTGGCTCTCTCCACTGTAGTGGTGGGTAGGATCCTGTGCTTGGATGTATTAGAAGTGTTTGTGTGCCTGTGTGTGTATTCCCTCCAGTTAACATGAATAATAATTTTTTGTCATCCATCAGCTTCTTGCTGTATCTGAGGGTGGAGATTCACTTGAAATAATCATCGGAAAGATGAACAAGTTTTGGTTCTGGGAAACAGAATAATGTACAGTGCAGTGTTGTAGATGGGTAAATTAGCTCTGCCACTTAGTAGAGCTAATTTACCCACATAAAACACTGCGGGATTTCAGCATGACACTGCCTGGCAGCATAGGAATACTTGGAGAACTAAAAATTGTCACCCCCCCCCACACACCCCCCTTTGCTTGCACTCCACTTGTAATACCTCTGCAGCTTACCCACTAAGAACCCCTGTTATAGCAAATGGGAGCTAGATATATCACTTTCCAAATGTGAAACAAAGTCATATTTAGTAACACAAAATTGGTATTGTCCTGGACAGTTTGGGACAACTGACATACACTTCACTTGTATGTCAGCATTGCTTTAGGTCTTCATATTCTGGGGCTCGTGCAGAAATTCGCTGCACCTGGTCTACGATTACGTGGCTTGCTTTAAGCTGTGTGATTGTAAATCAGGAGTGGTGTGCAGAGGTTTTCTGGTGCTGAGAGCTGTCCTGGGAACCAAATGTAAGTAACGCATGGTGGTAGGAGGAACAGGTGGGATTGGGAGGGCTAGCAGGTCCATGGGGCAGGGAGGGGGAGGTGGTTGGCAGGTCTAGGTGGGGG